CCCCCCACCGGGCACTGGACTTGTGGCCTGGGGGTGCATCAGGCACAGGAAGACTCCAGGGAGGGTCTCGCTGGGCAGTGCCCACTTGGAAGGGGTCGGTGGCCTCCCGTGGCACTCTTGTTATGAAGCCTTGACCTCCACTCCTGTCCCCTTTGCGTTAGTATTTGTCCCAGGGAGTCAATTGTCACCTTTCCTGTAGCCAACCGCCTGAAGGAGGCCAATAAGTTCCTTGGTGGGTCTTGGCCCATGGCACTAAAGGTGACAAAGAGGCCAGTGCGCACTGCTCGGTGTCCCCCTTTGTGCCCTGCTTTTGGACCTTTGCTCTCAGCCCTTGCCCTGCTCTTTAGACCTTGCTTCGGCTTTTATTTGTCACATATGTGCTCTGTGAACACAAAATGAAAAAAGCTTTACTACTCCATCCAGGAAGAGCCCAGACCATCTGCAGACACTTCCTCAGCCTGATGAAGGGTGTTTGTGCCCGAAAACTTGCAAAGAAGAATTTTTCCAACTATTTGAGTTGGTCTAATAAAAGATACCAAGTTTACGCAAAGAACCTTGTCTGACTCTGTTCGTTTCAAAAGAAGTTTTTTTTCAAGGGCGTTTTCTTATTCAAGAGAGTGGTATGGCGCGAGGGTCTTCCAGAACGCCCAGCCCAGGTGGGAATGCCCCCGGGGGGGCGTGCGTGCGTGCGTGCGTGCGTGTGTGTAACGCAAGTCAAAATGTTTTGAAAATTTCAAAACATTTTGAATTTCAAAGCTCAAGCTGGGCTTGCCTGCAGGGAAACAGAAACTAAAGTAAGGAGTGGGAGGGGGAAGGGGGGGGAAGGAGTGCTGTCATTATTATTGACTGTGTAGCTGGCCTGTGACTGTCATCCTTTCCTGAGGTCCCTTCCAATCTCAGTGCTCTGGGGGTGGGATGGAAAAACTGCATAAAAGGAAGCATTGTTTGAACTATCCTGCTTTCTGCTTTGGTATCAGTTGAGTGAGGGCACACCTTGACACACACACACAATATACCTCATCCAATGCACCAAATGCCCTGATGGAAGATATATAGGAGAGACCAAACAACAACTGCACACCAGAATGAACGCACACCGGAAATCCTTCGAAGACAGAAACACTCAATTACTGGTGGGGGCACATTTCTCACAGGAAGGCCACTCTCTCTCCAATCTCTCAGCCCTGATCCTCAAGGGAAACAGCACTTCCAGAGATGAGCCTATGAGCTCCATTTCATCAACCTGCTGGATATCAGAGATCATGGACTAAACACAGACATTGAATTTTTGATACATTATAATCTGCCTGGCAACTGACTCCCCAGCCCAGCCCCTGGCTTCTTTACTTTTCATTCCATCCAGGAAGAGCACACAACAACTGCTGAAACTTCCTTAGCCTGACGGAGGGTTTTTGAACCCGAAAGCTTGCTTAATAACTACTCTCCAACCATTTGGGTTGGTCTAATAAAAGATATCAAATTCACCCAAGGAACCTTGTCTCACACACAGTGTCATCCACCCATGTCATGGGTTTTGCCTGTCAGCAGCTAGAGGTGCAGGGCCCTAGACCCCAGACTCCCCCTGCACCTATCTCCTTGACAGCTGGCAGGCTTCACGGCCGCAGCAGGGCCTAGCATGCCTGCAGTTTTCACCCTGCTGCGCCTTAACACACAGACAGTCACCCATGTCACAAGGTTTCCTTGTCAGCAGGTTGAGGTGCAGTTTCCCTGAAATCCCTGTACCGATCTCCTTGAAAGCTGACAGGCTTTGTGGCCTCAGCAAGAGCTACCATCCCTGCAGTTTTCATCCCACTGTGGTTTAACGTACACGTGACATGAGTTTTTTGCTTTCAAGACTTTGAAGTTCAGTTTCCCTGAAACCCCTGCACCTATCTCCTTGAAACTTGGCAGGCTTTGTTGCCTCAGCAAGAGCTACCATCCCTGCAGTTTTCATCCCACTGTGGTTTAACGTACACGTGACATGAGTTTTTTGCTTTCAAGACTTTGAAGTTCAGTTTCCCTGAAACCCCTGCACCTATCTCTTTGAAACTTGGCAGACTTCATGCCCTTGGAAGGGGCTACCATTTCTGCAAGTTTCATCCAAATCAGGTCAGAAATGACAAAGTTATAGGCTGTTTTGAGCTTCTTCCCCATTATAGCCTATGGGTGAAACGTCGAAACAGCAAGCCTATGAGTAAAATGTTGAAACAACGTCAAAACAGCAAAACTGTTTTGACAAAATGAAACGGAACAGTGGTTTCGAATTGAAACAAAATTTGAAATGAAATGCTATTCCATCGAAACATCGAAATGCTGGTCAAAACAGAACGGTGCTGTTTTGCACAGCCCTACCAGCTAGTCCTTCGTCTCTTGTGGTAATTACTTCTTGGCATGTGGGGCTGGGTCACATTTTTATTGTGTGAATTGCGTAGCATATGTAACATGTAGCAGAGGCCTTGAGAGAGGGAAGGAGAGAAACATCCCTCTGAAGGAAAGAAGAGAGAGAGAGATGTCCCAGTAAAGGAAAGGGGGGGGGGGAAGGGAGAGAAAGGACTGTCCCTGTGAAGAAAGGGTGTTTGTGTGAGAAACTCCTGATGAGATCAGTGGCCATTCAAGAGTTGTTCACTTGACCATTAAAATCTGGGGGCCATCTTCCTCTAGCCAGCACTCCCTTCCTCCCTCTCCCCCTGCCTCCACACAGCTATGCCCAGATGAGCAAGACTACTTAAGACACAAATGTGGAGTTCAAATGGGTTAGAGGAAGCAGCAAGAAGAGGAACAAGGCACAGAGGAGCCAGAGGAAAAGGAGATGATGATTCATGTGGGGCCAGATTAGAAATTTCAACTAAATTCACAGGGGAAAGGAGAAAAATGCAGTGTGAAAAGATTAAGCGAAGTAATGATAAGCCAAACACTGCTCAGGCACTGAGGAGGTTTGCTTTTATTTAATTGCCTATATTTTCAGCCTTTAGAGTTCATATCAACAAGCTGTGTTAGCAGCAGAGTGATCATTCGTATGATCTCATATAAACTGCTTGACCTACCTACATGATCTGAAATGATGTAGCTGCTCTTTCCTGTTTGTCTTGTTAAATGTTACAATGCAAATCACAGAAACTGAACAGCCCCAGAAAAAGATGTTAGCTCTCCTCTGACTTTGTTTTTCCCTGTTACAAATTAAAGTTACACAAAGACTTCTGTCTCACTGATCTTGCCTCACTGATGCAGTCTAATGTAAAAAGAGTCATTTAAACCTGGCAATGGATTGTGGGAGGTTAGGAGGAGGACTGTTTGTTACATTGATTCTGCTAAGAGCACATGGTTCAAGGGCAGGTTGCATTCCAAAAATGCCTGTGTGCCTTCTCCGGGTGTCTAAGAAGGTATCATTCACTACTGTTGCAGTAGCAGAGGCAAGAATCAAGGCAAAGGGGTACCTGGGTCATACTGAGTTCCAAGTGGGGGTATCTGAATCCCAAGCCCTCTGGGCTTGGGCCTGCATATAGGATGCCTGCCAATGGATTTGGGAGTTTCTGAAGTCCCAGGGCAAGAACCTGGGGTGGAAGATGCTCCCTGTACAACCCGACGTGGTGTTTAGAATGGTTGAGCTCTGCTTGCTCAATCAATATGTTTTTTTGGAAACGACTGAGTTCTGCTCAGTCAATATGATTTGGAACTGATTTGGCTGATTTGACCTGGGACACAAAAGATGTTACTAAAAAAAAAGTACTGGCAACTCCAAATGCTAAAACAATCATGACTGGGCCATCAGAAAGGGTTACTTTTATTTGTCTTTTGTATTTTCAGCTTTTATGGTTCCTAGCAACAAACCTTTCTCCACAAACAAGAGTTTTGGCTTTTATTTAAAATAAATGAATAAAAAGTGAGATTCTCACATAATCAGAAGCACACACAAAGCGTGAGCTATTTTGCAGTTTTGCCAACTTTTGCAATTTTTTCTTGATAAAATCTGATGATATTCCTTAACATTTTTATATAACCTACCCCATCCTGCCCCCCACGGGTAATTTCCTCATAATTACCGGGAAATAAAAACTTTGAAAAATACACCTCAAAGTGCTTTTGAAAGATTAAAAACACAGAAGAAACAAAGGAAAATAAGTCAATGTATCTCTCTACAGATAGCTAGTGAGATTGGATTACAAATAAAAGACTTTATCACATAAAGCTGAGCTCCTGACATTTGAATGCTTGGACTTGACTGCTATCTGTGACAATCACTAGGATCTGAAATATTATCATTCTGCCACACTCTGACAAGTAGGCAAAATGCCTGTTTCTAAACTGAGTCCCCTCCACACTTGCGTTATTGTCACTAGTTAAAAATTCCGGGTTAATATGTTCCCACTGTAACCTCAGGCTGTATTTTCACTGGACTTTATGTTCAAATTCCCTGTTATTGCACTCCTAACATTGCAGCTCAGCTAATGGCAAGGTTAACATGTTCTAGCCAAGGATGTTTTCGCTGAGCAGATGACACCAGCAGGGATTTTCAGAGGGGAAAAAGAGGAAGTCAATCACCAAAATTCTAACACATTTTAATGGTGTTTGTATTTCAAGCTCCTTTAGGCTCCTTTGAAAATGACTGTTGCCATTTCGTTTGTTTAGGTAGGTTTTTGAAGGTATGTTGTCGAATCCCTGTCCCTAGAGGTTTTAAATTTCTGTCGTGACTTCACTGAGTATTCTCGATCCTCCCTCAGAGCAGAGGGATGGACTAAACTGGGGCCCCTTTTGGTCTTAGACATCTGTGGTAAACTATACAAATGTTGTCAGTCAGAGCATTAATGGAGCTCAGCAAGGCACATGGGATCATCATGAATCCAGGTACTAGTAAACTACTGCCCTTAGCCATAGAATACACCAATCTCTCAGGTACACTTGGTAGTATGCACAATAAATACATACACAGTTACTTCAGAGGCTATTCCCAGTAGGCACTTCAAACACTAGGCACAATGCCAGACCTGGAAAGCTTCCTTCTCAATCTTCTCTCACACAAACCAAACAGGGCAGAGACTTTTGCCTGGGCTGGCAAACCCAATGTGGGAGAGGAACTACTTAGTAAGTTAGATTTTATTTAGAAGATCAACTGTTTTCAAGAGTGAAAAAACAAACCTTCGGAGTCTGCTCCTGAGCGTCCAGAATCAGTTGCTACCCGTAAAAGCTAAATGAGCCTCCAGGAAAAAAATCTAACAAGCGGGGACAAAGACAAGATCTCAAAATGGCTAGCATGCTATTGTGGTTTGAGAAAGCTTTGCTGATACTTGAGACAGACTATGGTTTTGTTGTAGTCTTTCTGATTTAGGTGTGTAAATATTATAATAATGTGAGAGCCAAGAATTTTTGTGGCTGATACCTTTCACTGAACAAACTGCCTGGTTGGGAATGTGATGCATTCTTCTCCAGGTCATAATGTTATAATAATGTTTGCCTTGCTTTCCCTGATTAGCTTGTAAGCAGGGAAAGAAGGGGTTAACTTTGTCAGGAGACAGACCTATGGGAAGCTGCCAGGGGGCTCTATTAGTGGGGAATGGGCCATCAAGAGAGCAAGGGACTCATTTCCATATGAAGACACAGCATGGCTCCAAGTAGACTCTGGGCTCAGCTGTTGTGATTCCCTGCTGGTTCTTGTGTCAAGGAAAGACTTGATGCAAAGGCTGTTTGGGAAAACAAGCTTGGTAGAATGCAAGGAGATATGCACCTTATGGACTAACTAAATAAGATATATACGGAGAACAAGCTTTAGTGAACTTGAATTCGCTTAATCGGATGTTTGAGTTTGCCCAGAATCACGGAAGAGGGTAGGAGATACAGGCAGAGAACAACAGAGAAAGGAACGTGCTATTTTTCAGACAGACTGCTAGCAAGAGAAATGGGGACTTTTAAAGCCTGATGGGTTCTGCTAGGAAATACCATGGCCACTTAGGTAGTTTTCCTATGGGCAGGGGAAAACCACTTTCTTGGCTGGGGATAGTGGCTTGACTGAGGTAAGGTATAGTTAACCTCCCATTTTCACTTCCAGTGGGAAGATTTTGGTTATACGCCAACTTTATGGAAATGGGGGACTCCTCCCTAGCTTGCTCCTGCAGCCATACGGCTGAGGGCAAGCAAAACTTCGGTGCATCCAAACCCCCAAGTCTCCAGGCTTGGGCCTGCACGTAGAATTCACTCACCAAAGGATTTGTAAGTATCTGAGCCCCCAGGCAGGGGTGGAGGATGTTTGCTGGTCCACACATGTTTCTTGAATGACTACAGATTTGGAATTGATTTGGCTGATTTGACTTGAGACATGAAAAATTTTCTTTAACAAAAAAAAAAATCTGCTTGTTACATTGTGGTTGTTCAGTAATAGTTATGCTGGCTAAGAAGAGCTGCCTGCTTTGTTGCATGTGACTTTGGAAGTACTCCATCCCCTCAGAGGTAAAGTCCTTCCTCAGGAGCTAGGCCAGAAGGGAGGCCATGGATAAACAGGGGTGTCAGGTTCCCACAGGCCTGGCCTTGGAATCCAAGGAACCATGGGCTCCCCCATTCTTGGAGCTTTGCATGAGCTGGCTTCAGAGGTTACCCCAGGAACTATACAAAGCTGGTGGATCCTAAATTAGAGCTCCTTTGGTAAAACCAGACAGTGTTTGTGGTTGTAACTGCTGCCATTCCAGTAAAGGGATATTTTAACTCCTTTAGGGTATAATAGTCATCTCCAAAACAACAGAAGTACTGTCTAAAGGTAAGCCTCATGCCCTGCAGCTTGATTAGCTGGTTCAGTCCAATCTAATGAACTAACTAGGACCAGCTGAGGCCTAGCCCTTCCTGCTG